GTATTTTTGTTGCTTTTGTTCGTTTCTATCCTCTTGTTGATGTTGTATTTTTTCATCCAGGAATGCTCTGCTTCTTTCATCAAAGTCTTCTACCTTCCAAACTGAATCCAGTCGATATCTTGTATTGTTCCAGTTGATTAGGATCCCTTCTGGCATTAACCATCTAAAGTGTGTTCCTTTGGCAATTAACTTTATGGTTTCTTATTCTTTTAGGGATCTGCTTCAACACCACAATTTCTTTATATTTTAATGGTTCATCTCTAACTCTTCTCATCTCTTATTGTTTTCTTTATAAATCTTACATGGACTTCTCTGGGTAATTTATATTTCCTCACATAGCTTGAATTCATTCAAAATATCTCTTATATTTCTGTTTGTGTCTCTGCTCTTTCTATTTTTAGAGCCTCCGTCAATGGATGAATGATCACTTCTTCTATATCTTCCTCCTTGTCTTCAGGTATATTTTGGAATCTTAAGTAGTGTACAGCTTTCTCCATTTCCAAGGCTGCAACTACTCCTTCTAAGCTTTGGTTTGCTTGTTCTAATCTTGCATTAATGCCTCCATTTTTTATCAGTTTTTTTCTGATTTATTTTCCATTTTTGGAATTCTTTGTTCATCTTTAGCAATCATTTGGTGATGGGCATCAAACTGTGTCTTTATATCCAGCATTTGGTCATTTAGCTTATCAAATTGTTTTTTATCTCTTCATGATTTTTCTGTATTGATTCTTGAATTAGCTGTAATGTAGCTTGCATCTCTCTTTGAGCACTATTTGTTTTTTCTTGCTGCAGCATTGTTTCAATAGATCCCTGGCTTGCTGGACTAGGTTTTCCAACAGAGGGTGCAGAAGTTTTTTTTTCATAAGTTTAGTGAGATTTGATGCTCTCATTTTTCAATTGAGTGAGTTTTGTAAATCCACAAGGAGAAAATGCAAAAGAAAAAAAAGATAACTGCCTTTTTATATAATCCAACCATAAAACAAGCCAACTGCGTTAGGCTAATCCAAATGTTCCATTTAGTTTAAAGATGTAAAAAGCCCTCCGTTTCCAAATAGTTCCTGTTGTAGTTATATCCAGGGTCAGAAGATATGATTGTAGAAAGTCTTTTCTGGCATAGAGTCACCTAAGGTTCTTTTGTTTACACAAGGTGTTATTTCAAGGTCAAGAGCTTCTCAAATTCTTTTAGTATTTTGGTATTGTTGTAATATCTCCTTTCACCACTAGATGTCCTTATTTACTGTATTGTCTATGTCAGGGGTCGGCAACGCGCGGCTCCAGATCCACATGCGGCTCTTTCATCCCTCCACTGCAGCTCCCAATCCTCCGCCCAGTCCTCCGCCACCTAAAAAAAAAGTTCAATCAATCAATTCCAACTTCTCACAGAAAAAAAAAGATCTTGCAAAGTTGGAATTGATTGATTGAACTTTTTTTTAGTCCCACAAACAAAAGAAGTTTGTGGGCAGTCCGACAAACAAAAGAAGTTTGTGGGACTGCCCACAAACTTCTTTTGTTTGTAAGACTGCACATGGTGGCGGAGGAAGTGACGGAGAGCCAAGTCGGAGTTGGAAAGAAGGTGCCATGTGGGTCAGATTAGGGGCACGGGGTGGTGGTGGTTCTGCCAAGATCTTGTACGAAGCCAGGGAAATGGGCTGAATGGGAGGAGCTGCCAATGCCGCTGCTATCCTATCCTATCCTATCCTATCCTATCCTATTTCTTTCCGGATTTCCATCATTTAAATTGCTACTTCTGTTGTATGTGGTTGTATGGCTACATTAATTGTGGGTTTGGGCCTAAAATTAGTTGTGGGTTTGAACCTATATCTCATTATATCCGGGTTTTGGGATTATCTCCTTATTTCCTGGTTTGAGTATATGATAACAATTATCGTTTAGCAAAGTCGCGCCCCTTATGGCCTTGGACCAATCAAAAACACTTCCAGGGGAGGGAATTTGATGTCATATCCAGTTTTGGTCAATTAATCCTACTTTGGGTCTTGTACCAATCAATCAGAAGAGCTTCTGGGGGAGGGACTATGATGTCATATCCAGTTTGGACAAATAGGGAGGATGCGGAAATGATGTCACTGATCAAAATGCTTATAAGTTCCCATTATAAAAATATATGTACTACTTAGGGAACTCATAGAAGATTCACAGGGCTCAAAGATTCCTCATTCACACTTTATGTCAAACTCACTGCGTCACATGACATGTTGTGATGTTTCGTGACTTTTTTCCTCTTGCATGGCTTCTGCGTGATGCATCCGGCCCACAGGCTGGCAGTTTGACACCCCTGCTTTATGTGGTCTGGTGATTAAGGCATCAGGCTAGAAACCATTGACTGTGAGTTCTAGTCCTGCCTTATGCATGGCTGACTGGGTGACTTTGGGTAGTCATACTCTATCAATACAACTCACCTCTAAGGGTTGTTTTTGTAAAAATATGAGAGGATGCAACATTAGGTATGTTCACTGCCTTGAGTTACTTATAAAATAATAAAGGTAGGTTAAAAATTGAATAAATATTTTTTTATGTTTCTATGCAGTTTGTATGCAGATATACTAATTGCTGGCATGGCAGTTTTCAATAGCCATTTTCTTTGGGGCAGTGAAAAAGAAAAGAGTTCAAGGAGAAGTGTTGTGTGGGTGGAACAAATAGTTGCTTTTGTTTATTTGATTCATATCTAAAAGTTGAACCAGATTTCACCTGTGCAGACCAGAAATCTTTGCAATAAATCATATAACAATGATATTTTGCAGCTCTGCCAATCAAAAGAGAAAATTCAATTACTGGTGTCAAATTTTGCACAAAAACAGAATAAAAACCATAATGTTTGTGCACTGTCAGTGATTTTTATGCAGAACAGTATAGGAGAGGCACTAGCTACTGAATAGCTAGCAAATCTTTTTGTGCAGTAAGCTTACATATAATTAGACAGTAAGCAATTATGCCTCACTGTTATCCTGTTGTAACATAACAGTGCAGAGGAAAGACAAAATCCTAGTAGGCATCCTTAGTATAGTATATACCCTAAGCATATTTTCACATGACCAGCCATTCTTTTGAAAGTCTAATTTCAAAACCATTATGAAGCAGGATTTGAGTGGGTTATTCTTGCCATTTTACTAGCCAATCAATCAGAATATGCTCTTTCTGGTCAATAAAAAAAGCAAAGGTTTTACCAATCAGTCTCAGCTATTGGTCAGTTATTGAGCCCTTCACTGTACTCTTTTAGTTTTGCCCCAACCCTTTTTCCACAAAAAAGATTAAAGGAAAAATCTGAGGTGTCATAACTGTTTACCATGAGGGCGTTATGTCCTATATGCCCCTTTACCATGCCTTTTGGAAATCCTCCCCCCCCCCCTTGCAAAGTTGCCTGTTTGGTTTTCTAAAAAAAACAAACCTCATAGGCATGGCATCAGGAAGATGTAACTAAGTGCAATGGAAAGGATGCACAAACAATATTGTCTGGTCACCAGGTGGTCTCAATCTGTAAGCCAATTTGAATCCACAGATCATCAGAATGCCCCATTTATCGGCATTTTAACCATAACGTCCTAGTGTGAGATCCTAAACCTTCTTACAAGTAACTCCTCCCATTGGCATTTTCCCAGGGGATGAAAATTTGATTTTTCTGTTGAAATAGCATTGCTATCAGGAGTTACTTTCAACAGTCTGCTTTCCGTGGAAAGCCTTTTGTTATCAGGTCTCCCCCATCTCCTTATGCCTGTGCTCAGCTTTTCAATCAGGAATTGTAGCCTTTTGAAATGTTTGTCTCCCATCCTCCCTCTCAATGCTCCATAGGAGTTTAACATTCTTTTTTGTGAAATTTCCAATATCCTGTTGAATACATTGTTTGCAAGTGATTGCCATTCTCTGCATCTCCATATTGACTAAAAGAGTTTCCTATACCTAATGTTCCTTTTATTTTCCCCTCTTTTAATGAAGTGGTTAGTTAAGCTGAGAGAGAATACCTGACTCAACATCACCTCAACTGGCTTTCATATCTAAGGCGGGATGGGAACTCAGTCTCTTGGTTTCTAACCTGGTGGCGTAACCACTACTGTAGCAGATTGCTAACCACTCAGAAAATTGCTAGCCTCTGCAAGAAAATGGCAGAATCGTTCTTAACTACTGATATACTTACACTATTAGAATTGTTGAGATAGGATACGCAAATGCCTTTGTTGTGGCTGGCTGCTCTGTTGATGGGAGTGCCTTACTGTCAAATTGAACTTTCAAAGTTCTTTTATGTTAGCTAACGATTATTAGATGTACAATTTGAGGCCAATGGGGAAAATAACCCTCAGATGTAGTAAGATTTTCCATCTTTCAGAGACAGGGCTGCCTAGGTTTCCATACCTCCTCCACGATTCATTATGTGGAATAGATTATGCCAAACCCTCAATAGCAACCATTTCAGAATAATTTATACAAATTAAGGAGAGGCTCTGTAAATATGGACCTGGGTCACCGTTGCCATTATCAACAAAGTTCAATGGTATTGGAGCAAAAAAAGAAGGAAACAAAAACAGTGATTATAATAATAATGCCTATTTCAGGTGCTTGGGAAGGATTTGACAGGTGGATGAAAATGCCAAGCCCAGTCCAAACATTTATCTGATTGTACAACGCACTATGATAACGATGCTGGCAGGAGATATAAAGCGTGATGCCTATTGCACTTTTATTATCCTAAGTGTGTGCGTGTGTGTGGGGGGGGGGGGGAGTTGTAAGGGATGCTGCAAAGGGGCTCCCTCAACGCAGCCTCGCAGTAGCCAAGCCAGCAAAAGCCACGTCAGGTAGATCGGGCCCTGCAGCCGAGAGATGCTATGACACCCCTGCACACCCCCCCCCCGCTGCCGCCGCCGCCGCCAGTATTCCAGCCAAGACCCCCTCCACCCTCTTCTCCCGCCCCCTCCCTCCGTCGGCGGGCGAGGAATCTCTCCTCCCAGCCCTCCCCCTAGCCCGCCTCTGAAGTCCCCGCCTGCTCCTTGCGGTGGAGAAGGCCGAAGGAGGAGGAGGGGGAGGGCAGGGGAGCATATTACGGCCGCAGCTTTGCTTAAGCTGCAGAGGGGGCGAAAGCGGCGGAAGAGCCCGTTCAAGCATCTGCCAGCCGCGGAACTGAGGAGGGCGGCAAGCATCGGCCGTGAGCAACGCCGCTGCCTCTTCTTTTCTGCCCTTTCCCGTTCGAGGCGGCGGCGGCAGCGGCAGCAACAGTCGGAACAACCTGTGCCTGGTCGCCCACCGTCAAAGCGACCCCTCCCTTCTCGGCGGCAAGATGGTGAGCGAAGGAAGGGACCGGTCTATTTCTAGCGCCGCCGCTTTTCGAGCGAGGGGATGGGATGGGGAGAGCGGGCCTTCGGTCGGGATTGCCTTCCTTTCTTAAGCATGGCGAGCCGGCGCGCATCGAAGCGCCTACCTCGCGCCCCTCATCCCATTCGCTCAGGCAGGTCCCTGGGTCGTACTTGCTCTGTATCATTGCAGACATATACACACACTCTCCATTCATTCCTGTCAGATATGCCTACAATGCTAGTTACACCACGTCTCTCTCTCTCTCTCTCTCTCTCTCTCTCTCTCTCTCACACACACACACACACACAGAGAGAGAGAGAGAGAGAGAGAGACACACACACATAGAGAGACACTTTATACAGACATCTTATTCTCTTACATTTATTGAACCTTGTACACAAGCACCATCTATTCTTTCTTTGACATGCCTGTTTCCTTGCCCTTTTGTGCATGCACGCACGCACGCACACACCCTGTATTCTCTCATATCCACTCATACTTCTATTCTTTCAATCATTCTTCACACATTTCCCTCAATTTTCCATAGTCCTGGGCCCCTTTTGCTCTTCTGCTCCTATTGTTTTCTGTCTCATATTAACAGACTTGCTTGCCATGCACATTTCCATCTCAAATCAGCCAATCTCAGTGGCATATAAATGCCAAATATTATTTCCCTCCTGTAGTAATCCACTTTTCACCCATTACCTGCATGTCACCTCCTTTCTTCTCTGTTTGATACCTATGCAAGACACAGTTTGCTCTACCTAGTATTTTGTACACTATTCTCATTAATATTCTACATAGTGCTGCATGTTGCTTCCCTTTCTTACACATGCAAATACTATCTAGGTTGCTTTATACAGCCTGCTGAGAGTAGCTGCCCTTCACTTAGCTCTTTGTACTACATAGTCATCTTTTCATTTGCTCTACAAACTATATAAAAATGCTCTTTCTCTCCGTCTCTCTCCCTTTCCTCTCTGATTTTGTGGCAGCAAATGTTTTTTTTAAACATGTTATGAAATACACCAGAATCCACTCTTTTACAAGTTATTTTTTTCCCCAGTGGAAAACAATTATTCTCTTATTGACTTTACAGTAGTACTTTCCTTCCCGTACTTCTTTTAAAGGCATCCCATCAGAACTGTTTACAATGTATATTTCCTGAGATATACATGATTAAAAACAAGACAATAAAAAATAATGACATTCTGTGATAGGAAGTCATACTAAAAGAAGCTTTAAAAAGTATACTCAATAGAGACATGTGTGAAGACATTTGATTAATATGGCTTCACTAATACAAGCTGGCCTTAAAACAAGCTTACACAGAAGCTGAAGAACTCTCAGAGGAATCACTGCTTGCCAGTACAACTTCCAAATTGTTCTCCCTATTTGCTTTTGTAACAAAAAGTTTTGAGAAGAAAGGTCCGTTTCAAAGAAGCCATTCAATTTCTTTCTTCTTTCCGGTCCATATCATTCTGCTCAAAGGATAGTTCCGATGTCTAGCCAATTCAAGACAGAAAAGCCTTTTTTTAAAAAAAATGCCCTTGCCGAAGAAAGTTTAAAACCGCAAATCTAATCAATTTAAAATGTTGCAGGTTTGAATCTAACTCCCAATTTGGGCACAATTCATGTAACCAGTTCCGTGGCTGAGAATTGGTATTTTAGAATCGCTATAAATTAGCATTATTCTCACGTGAACTCTGCATTAGGGTCTTTGAGAGTTATTGAGAATGGCCATATTGTCAGTGGTCTTTGAAAAAGTAATATGTGTGTGGGGGAATAAAATGCTTAGCACTTAATATTCGCAGCATGGAAACTTAATCATAAACGTTTAAATTAACCATGTGGGAAAAATTGAACATATTAAACAAGTTCTCAGTTCTAAGAGGAAAACTGCATCGTAGTTAAATGACACTTATTTTAGTTGTTCCCTTCGTAGCAAACTTGCATTGCAACAGAAGAGAATCTAGGTAGCTCTGACATTTTTAGTGCTCTTCTGACCTTGGTTATTTGCTTACAGACATTTCTTTATCTGACTAGGTAACATAAGCAGTACATCAAGGACTCCAAAAACTTGCATGGGCTTTCTTTCCTAGCCATTTAAAAGAGCAAGAATCAATATATAGAGAAAAAAATAATAAACACTCGGAAACTTGAAATACCTAATTTTGATTAATCTAAATTACGTGGGAGGTGACCCATTCACCCTCAAGGGTTGTATGCAACATCAGCAATGGGTGGTGGGAGTGAAAGATAGACCCTTGTGATTGCAGCTGTATAAATGGATCAATGGTCACATTATAGAACAACTGTAATAAGAATAGAGGGAGGAAAGGCAAGCCACACATTTATTCCTAGTTGATTTTATTTCTTAAAATGAAATTAAACAAAAAAGAGATTAGTCTTTGCAAGCCTCCTGGAGGACATATACTTGGTTTACTTTGAGAAAGGATTCAATCTGAATCCTTTTCAGGTTTGAGAACTCACCTCCTAGAGCAGGGCTTTTCAACCTTTTCATCCATTGTACCACTTTTAGGATATGGCAACATCCGAGTACCACCAGTCACCTAGCAAGGTGTCAAAAACTTGATGACCCCCCCAAAAAAGGAAAAAAGTGATAAAAGTACAGGTAGTCCTCAACTTACAACAGTTCGCTTACTGACTTTTCGAAGTTACAATGGCACTGAAAAAAGTGCCCCCCAAGCCACAGCTGAGCAAGACACCTGCCTGCCTGCCTGCCTGGTGGCACTCTTCCTCCTGTCTGAGGTTTTCATTGTTGTGAGCATTTCTGTTGAGGATTGGCAGCAGAGGTGGGGTGGGGGGGTGTTTGGTTTTTATTCTCCCCATTTTGGTCACTTCACATGATCCTGGGACACTGTGACCATCATAAACATGAGTCAGTTGCCAAGCATCTGAATGTAAATCACAAGACCCTGGAGATGCTGCAACATTTCAGCTGATCGGCACTTCTTCTGGGTTCAGCAGAAGCGCCAGGATCAGTGCTGCTTTCCAGCTGATTGGTGCTTCTTCAGGGCTCAGCAGAAGCACCAGAATCAGCACCGAGCTCCAGCTGGAGCCTGGCGCTGATCCTGGTGCTTCCACTGAGCCCTGACACCCCGAAGAAGCGTCAATCAGCTGGAAAGCGGCATTGATCCTGGTGCTTCCGCTGAGCTCTGACAGCCCTGCAGGTCCAGCTATCTCTCGCTCAGACTTGTGCAGTGCTGCCACCGGTTCAGCTCATTCCCCTCACCCGCTACCACCTGCCAGGTCGCGTACCACCTGCCAGGTGCCAATGTACCACAGGTGGTACCCGTACCACTGGTTGAAAAGCCCTGTCCTAGAACAGACATGTCAAACTCGCGACATCACGTGACGTCGTGAGACATATCAGGACAGTTTTGCCATTGCCGGCCATGGGATGGGCATGGCTTCCAGATGACGCGTCCATCCTATGGGCCAGCAGTTTGACATCCCTGTCCTAGAGTCAATTATTTATGTAGGCAGTTTTTTTTTAATAATTGCCATTGCATTATTGAGAAATGTTTCTTTTTGCTCAACACTTCCCTCTCTTTTCCTTATAGCTTTTAAATAATAATTAAAAAGCCTACATAAATCTTTAGAGTATAATATATATGTGAGAGTAAACTATAAAAGCGAATGTCATATATGTAGTTTTCACATGAACCATTTTAGCAAGAGGGTCAAACAAATCAGGACATTTACTGATGAATAAATTGATGGGAAAAGAGATTCTGCTTTCCCTTTATTCTCATTCTTAATACAGCACTGTGTGATTGTGTATATTAGTGGTTACAATAAATGACCATCCCTAAGAGAGCGTTAATGATTGTGTAAATTTAATATATGATGTGCTAGCTCTGCTTGCACAATTTGAAATTTTGGTTCTAGTAATTAAGACTTTATCCAAATAATTAGATAAAATATCTGGCATTCACAATTACTTAGAAGCATGGTGGCTCAGTAGCTTAATGACATTGGACATGGGCTCCCATCACATGCTTTAGTTTCTGCTCACCTGGCAGTTCGAAAGCATGCTGCATGTAAGTAGATAAATAAGTACCACTTCCCTGGGAAGACAAATCAGTGCTTCATTCATACGGCTAGAATCCTGTGACACCCGTTTGTGAGATGGTTTTGGTGGAGGGAGAGGCCTCAGATGATGTTGCAGAAAGCTGTTCACCTTTCTGGTGCAGAGCTAGCTCACCCCCTATGGCGCACCTTGGAAAGCGTGAGAGCATGAACCAAACAGGGCTAGTGATCTTAGGCAGCCAAACTACTACTCTGTATTAACATTGTACTATCCTGGTTAATGTAACATATATGCTAAATAAATAAAAAATAATTACTTGACATCCCTCTAAGCCAGTGGTGGCGAACCTATGGCACGCGTGCCAGAGGCGGCACTCGGAGCCCTCTCTGTGGGCACACATGCCGTTGCCCCAGCCTTGCCTCCCCTGTGACTCCCTCCTCACCAGCAGCCTCTCTGGAGGAGAGTCGCCCCCGAGCGTGGCCCACACAGAGCAGCGTAGCCAAGGACATGGCAACGAGGCAGCGTAGACAAGACTCTGCCCTCAGGCCCCATCGTGCACAGTTGATGCTGTGGGGCGCGGGCAGAAGGCATGGCCGCCATGGCGCTGCTGGGCTGCCTGGGCGATCTGCGGTGGGCCCGGGCAGGCAGGGTGGGGGCGGAGCTGGGGCGGAGCAAGGGCAGGGCCAGTTTTTGGGCACTCAGTCTCTAAAAGGTTCGCCATCACTGCTCTAAGCCTATAAAGTCTTTGGCGAATTATATTTTGAATAACACAAGTATATTTCATACTTATTTGTCAATTAACCAAAACAATAAGTAAGGCTATAATTTCATATTCTTCAGATTAGATTTACATTTGAACAACTTACCTAAGATTCTTTATCAGATAGTACCATAATTCTAGATGTCTGACTTTAAACAAAATCTAATGAATT